CCCTCTTCATTTTTCTCCTTCTTTATTAGGGATTGAACCCAGAGGTGCTCAATCATTGAACAACTGTCAGCCCTTTTTATTTTTTTTTATTTTGAGACAGGATCTCACTGTCATTGAGGTTGGCCTCAAACTTGCAATTTTTCTGCCTCAGCCTCCCTAGTCACTGCAATTAGAGGCATATGCCACCAGGCCCAGCTTCTGCTGTTTTTCTTCTAACAACATTTAACATATTTTATTTATTTTTTTTTAATTGATATTTTCCTGTTTTGCTTTGGGCTCAGTCCCCAGTACCATACACACAAAAAATATGAGGGTTTTTTTGTTTTGTTTTTTTAATGTCCAAACCAAAGTTGAAGAGCTAGAAAGTAAATGGCACACAGGCACATCACAGTCCAGACATAACCTATCTCTCTCTAGTCATTCCATGTTTCACTTCATATACCAGTAAGGTAAAACTGCTGATAGGGAGCTGGGGTTGTGGCTCAGCGGTACAGTGCTCACCTAGCATGTGTGAGGCACTGGGTTCAATTTTCAGCACCACAAATAAATAAATAAAATCAAGGTCCACCAACAACTAAAAAAAAATTTTTAAATAAAAAATTTTTTAAAATCTGCTCATAGATCTCCAACATACTGATTTATCCTTCCATGGTTTTACACAGAAAAAGTATAATTTGTTGGTTAAAAGCTTAAAGAATCAGGCCTGGATTCAACCCTAATTCCACCTCTTACTAGCTGTGTGATCTTGAACAAGTTAAACTCTCTGTTTCTTCATTTATAAAATAGAGATTATAAATGTCAGAAAATGATTCAATGAAGCAACAAGTATAAAGTGTTTCACCTAGTTTCTGGCCCACAGTGAGAAATGAATAATATTACTTAACCTTATTACTGGCTCATGCTATTCTGGAATTTTCTCTCCCTGTCTCATTTAACCTGTATTCCTACATATCCTTTAAAAACATAACTTAAAAATTATATCACTCAAGGGCTGGGGTTGTGGCTCGGCAGTAGAGCAATTGCCTAGCATGTGCGAGACCCTGGGTGTGAGACCCTGGGTGCGAGACCCTGGGTGCGAGGCCCTGGGTTCGATCCTCAGCACCCATAAAAAGAAATAAATAAGATAACGGTATTGTGTCCAACTACAACTAAAAAATAAATTTAAAAAACATTATATCACTCAAAACTTTCTCTTTCCTCCCAGTTAAATGCTTTTTCTAAAGGGAAATCCCTTTTCCTTGTATATTCTATAGTAATTTCTTTTACCTATGTGTTATTTCTCCCCTACCTGAGTATGAAATTTTTGAAGGCGTTATCAATTTCTTATTTATCTCCTAGTTCCTGGTAACTAAAAAGTTCATAATACACAGTAAAGTGTTTAACGTGGCTGGGTGCATGGTGTACTCCTGTAATCCCAGTGGCTCAGGAGGCTGAGACAAGAGGATCACGAGTTCAAAGCCAGCCTCAGCAACTTAGTGAGGCCCTAAACAATTCAGCAAGACTCTATCTCTAAATAAAATATAAAGAAAGGGCTAGGGATGTGGCTCTGTGTTTGAGAGCCCCTCGGTTAAAATAAAAAATGTTTAATGTACAACTGAACAGGACTTGTATATATATGCAATTTAATTTCAAACACTGTACTCCTTTCCATTACATCCCACTTCCTACCCTCTACTCTGATGGGCAATGACTGCTTCTGATTAGATAGCGTAACTTATGAATAAACTGCTGCCTTCAAGACAAACACTGAATTTGAGGTCAATTTTTTTTCAAACCAAACACACTTGTTCATTCAGCGATATCTTTTAATAGGTTATAGGACGCCCACACTGATCCCCCAGGAACTCACATTTCAGAGGGATCTCTCTCTCGTGCACAACAGTAAAGGGTAACTTCTCCTGGTCATCCAGGGGCACTGAATCCCGTGTATACACTACAGTGATGGGCACCATGAGCCGGAGCTGCAGGAAGAAGCATCAGGGACTTCGACTGAGTCTCCGCCTTGCCGGTGGGCTGTTCCCGGGTCTTCCCCCACCCAAGTCTCACCTGCAGGGCATTGAGCCCACTGATCTGGGAGTAAGGCAACGGAGCCCGGTACGTCTCCGTGGTCTTCCACCAGAGCGGTAGTCCCAACACGATGGCCACCGCGGCGAAGAAAAGGGCGGCGCGCTTGCCCCGAATCACCTCTGGAGGCACAGGGGGACAGACTGACGGGCGCGAAACGGGCTCGGCTACTAGCTCCACCGCTATCGCGGAGGAGCAGAGACAATCGGTCCTCAAGGGCCTCCCTCCGCCCGCGTTCGGAGATGCCAGTGCTAAGGGCCCTCGCCCGTCTGAAGGGACCCCGTCTGAAGCCACTCCCCAACCCACCCCCTGCAGTACTCTTGCATACTCCAGGACCCACCCCTGCATCCCTCCCTCGCAATCCTGGAGCCGCAGCCCCGTCTGAAGCCCATCGCACCTAGATCGGTGGCCGCGGCCCCAGAGGCCGCCATGCTCGCTTCCGGCTGCTCGGGCCGCGGAGGGGCGGAGCATCGTAAGCCTCCCCCAATCGGAAATCTCGCAACAAGGGGCGGGACCACCACGACGGCAATCACCGCCAATCGTTAGCGGCAGTACGACGCTCGCTGGGGAAAGCCGGCTGCGGGTGGGCGGAATCCGAGTGGAGCGGCGCTGGGCGTTTGAAAGGATATGCCCACGCCGAAGGGGCGGTGTGGGAGTGGTACACTGTTGAAGACAAATCTCCCTGCGCCTAGTAGAACACACTCTTAAATCCCAAGGATTAATGGAGCCAACTCTGTTCGTTAAATACCAACTGGGCAGCAGGGCGCGGTGGTGCTCGCAGGTAATCCCAGCCTCTCAGGAGGCAGAGGCTAGGAGGATCGCCAAATTGAGGACAGTCTGGGCAATTTGGGGAGAACTTGTCTTTAAAAAAAAAAAAAAATTGTTTTTGTTTTAAAGGAGATGTAGCTCAGTGTTAAAGCAGCCCTTTGTTCAATTCCTCCTGTACGGGGATGGAGGAGGGGGAGAGGGGGTGCTGGGCATTCGTGGGAGTCCTGTCGCTGTTTCCAGATCTGAAAAAGGAAGGTATTTTCTTCGGTGAGGTCATTCTTGTAAATAGCCTGGTGCAGGGAGAGCCCTCAAATGTCAGTTGTCACAATTATTGTAGAGTTCCTATTCCTGGCTCCTTCTCCTCAAGCCTCAAACACGGAGGTTGCAGGCTAGCACTTTTTTTTTTTTTTTTTTTTTTTGCATAACTGGCTAAACTGTACTCTTTATTTATTTAAAAAAATTTTTTTTGGTGGGGGGGCGGCTGGGGCTGTGGCTCAAGCGGTAACGCGCTCTCCTGGCATGTGCGGGTCGCTGGGTTCGATCCTCAGCACCACATAAAAATAAAGATGTTGTGTCCACCGAAAACTAAAAAATAAATATTAAAAAAAAAAATCTCTCTTTTTTAAAAAAAAATATTTTTTGACACCGGTCTTGCTATGTTCCCCAGGCTGGTCTGGAACTACCAGGTCCTTCTGCCTCAGTCTCCCAAGTAGCTGGTACTACCTGTGTGTCTCCACATCTGGCTTCCAGTATTTTAAAATTCATTTGAATTCATTTCCAACTTGGAAAAGTCAGGACATTTGACTTAAAAAAATAAATCTCTAGGGCTGGGATTGTGCCTCACACCACATAAAAATAAAGATATTGTGTCCATCTACAACTTAAAAAAAAATAAAGGAATAATAAATCTCTACAATTCAAGAGCACAGACTCTGGATCCTAATCACTAGGATTCAAATTCTGGCTTCACTCTTTTTACCTAAATGATGTCTCTGTGCCTGTTTCCTTATATTAAAATAGGAATAAGCCAAGTGTGATGTGTGGTGGTCCACACCTGTAATCCCAGTGACTTGGGAGGCTGAGGCAGGAAGGTTGCAAATTGGAGGCCAGCTTCCAAATTTAGTGAGACCCTCAGCAACTTAGCAAGATCCTAGCTCAAAATAGAAGTAAAAAGGGCTGAAGATGTAGCTCAGTGGTAAAGTGACCCTGGGTTCAATCCCCAGGACCAAAAATAATGAAAAAAATAGGGGCTAATAATAGTACATACTTTATAGAGTTGTATTGAGTTAATATATATGGTAGTTAGCACATAAGAAGTGCTACGTTAGCTATTTTTCTTATAAGGTCTGGCCCCACCAGGGGAAGTAATAGTAATCTCCCCAGTAAATAGAACATGTCCAGCTTCTTCTCTCATATTTGCTTTTTTAAAAATATTTTTAGTTATAGGTGGACACAATATCTTTATTTTTTTTTTAATTTTTATGTGGGCTGAGGATCAAACCCAGTGCCTCAAGCATACTAGGTGAGTACTCTACCTCTGAGCCACAACCCTAGCCCCATGTTCTCTCATCTTTAATCTATTCAGATAGACTGAGGTTCTCAGCTGATGTCACACCCCAACTGAGTGGTTAAAATTTCAGCATGAGGGCTCACAGGGTCTCCCTTGCCAAGACTTTCAAATTGGCCCCTTTTATACTCTTATCCCAAATGGGAATAAGCATAGTTCTTGGCAACCTCTAGATACCATACTATGGTTAGCCCAGCAGCCACTAGAGCCTTGGAGGTTTACCAAGACCAGGTGATCCTACTGGTGGAATGTGTCAGGCCCCAGCAGGGCTCAGAACTGCCGAGGTGGGAGAACTACTCTCATCCCAGTTTATCCTGCTACCTCCCTGCTTTGAGCCTTGCACAAAATCTGCCTTCAGAAGTTGTTCATCTTGCCTCACTCCATCTTCTGTATAAGAAGCCCAAGTGCCCCTGACATGGCAGACTCCCGACTTGGGAGTCTTTACTGTTCGATTCCAGTTTTGGACATCAAAACACAGGATCCTGAGCTGCCTCAAATCCCACCCTTTTCACCTCCATGGTTGGAGGGCCCAGAGAGAGAATCAGTAGACATCAGAAATGGGAGGTAGAAATTTGATGTGTAAAACACACAGACAAAGTAGCATGTTTTGCTACCATTTATTTGCTATGTGGTATGTATTCAAGGCATGAGGCGGGACTAGTGTACTTCTCTCATCCTAGGAGAGAGATGCAGCAAGGCGAGCCCAAGGAGAAGCTATACCACCATGGGGAAATTGTTAGGGCTGGTGGAGGTAGGGAAGACCCAGGCATTCTGTTCTGACTTCTAGCAGGTTCTCCTGCCCTCAGGCATTAGGGGCTCCCTATTCTCCCATCCTATGGTCCCAGGTGCAGCAATGAGAGGGGAGGAGAGAAGAGAAAAAGAAGTTGACTTGATGTTGGACAAAGGCATCTCTGTTCTGCGTGGCTATTTGGCCCTGACCATGACTACAGGCAAAAGAGTACAGATGGCTGGGCCAAGGGCCATAGTGTGGATTAAGTATGCCTCAGTAGGCATGGTTGGCAATGTAAAGGGACTGTGCTGCTGCTCCACCATCTTCTCCAGTGCCTTCATACTGGCCCTGGGCGGCAAGCCCATTCACCTGCAAAAGGGGAAAGTGGAGTAAACAGGCGGTGCCGGCCCACAGGTATTAAATTGCCCTGGCTGTAATCTCTGGGTGCTGGTCCCTGCCCTGCTACACACTCTACCACCACCACCACCACTTCTAGTTCCCAACCTCAGCTCGCTTGATGAACTCCTCAGTGGCAGCCCCAGCATTGTCCCTTTGTCCTCGCCAGGCGTTCAGTGCAGAGGCCTGCAGCGCACGTCCATAGGAGAAGGTGAGTGCCCAGGGTCGAGGGAGTGGGCAGCGGTTGATGGCATTGAGGTTGAGTGATGCCTCCTCTTCACTTTGACCCCCAGACAGGAAAGTCACTCCTGAGGTAGAGGAGAGAAGACAAATTGATTGGTCACTCCCTATTTTTCCAAGGTAAGGGACCTTTGACAGCCACAAATAGAACTTGAGGATGGACCTTAGGGATAGGAACAAGTTAGCCAGGTAGTACCTGGGACAGCAGGTGGCACAGTGCGACGCAAAGCAGTAACAGTTGCCATGGCAATCTCTTCTGGGGTATACTTGATGGGACAGGCATGGCCAGGGGTCACCATGTTGGGTTTGAGCAGCGTCCCCTCCAGGTACACGTGATGATCACTAAGAGCCTTGTACACAGCAGCCAGGACCTGGGGATCAAAGGAGGTTTATGAAGGGTCTCTGGATCCCCACTGCTTACTGCTCTGTGCCCCCCATCTTAGAGATAGGTAGGTATGGACTGTGAGGATTCAGTAAAGGCTCAGATCTGCAGGTCTGTTCTGGGATCAGGAGAAGAGCACTAGGGGAGAGTGTGCCTGGATCTAAGCTGGGGGAATAGGCATAGGCACCCCTTGCCAGGATGCCTGTGAAGTATGTGTCTGTGCCCACCTATGAACTCACCTTCTCTGTAACATACTGGCAACGTTTGAGGTCATGGTCTCCATCAGGCAGGATCTCAGGCTCCACAATAGGCACAATGCCATTCTGTAGGCAAGAAAGGATGGCTTAGGAGGGACAGTACGTGAGAAAGGAGGCTCTTTAATCCTCTCCCCACCAGGAACAGGACACCCAATTGACTACCCAAACCCCCAACACACACCTGCTGGCAGATGCTGGCATAGCGGGCCAGCACATTGGCATTCTCCAGAATGGCAAGTGCTGAGGGCGTGCGCTCACTGATTTTCAGCACACAGCGCCATTTGGCAAAGTCCGCACCATCCTTCTTGTACTGGGCACAGCGTTCAGAGAGACCATCCAGTCCTGCAATGATAATGCTAGCCTCATCACCCTGCCCTCTCTTGCTTGTATTGAACACTTAATCCCTGTGGTACTAAAGCCCACCCACCATGTACCTTGGGTAGTAGTTTCTCCATCTGTCCCAGCCAGAGGCACTACACCCTTATCAACCTGCAGAGGAAACAGGCAGAGGGCTGAGCCCAAGCAGAATTCTCCTTACCACCCCTCCTATACATATTTCCATATCCAGCCCCCAGTCAGGACCAGGGACTGTACCTTAATGCCTACAACAATGCCCTTATCTTGGATGGTTCGGACGAAGGGGACACCGTTATCATCTTTCTGGTAGAGTGTCTCATGGAAAAAGATGACACCTCCAATGCACTTCTTCACACGGTCATCAGCACTGAACAGGACCTGGCGGTACAGCCGGCGATTCTCCTCTGTGTTTTCTACCCCAATTTGGCTCAGCCTCTTGGCCATGCTACCTGTAGACAAATAAGAGACAACCTAACTCCCTAACCATGGCTCCCTGGCTATCTCCACCACCCTGACCACAGGCCCCACTTACCTACAGACTCATCTGCGGCCAGGATACCTTTGCCTGGGGCTACGATGCGGAGGGCAATGTCAGACAACTCCTTTTTCTGCTCAGCAGAAAGGGCTGGGTAGGAGTGGGGCATGGTGACAGCTCTCTGGAATGGAGACAAAATATAAAAGTTGAACCCCACCCATTACCTCCTCTGCTTAGCCAAATGCCTCCCCACCCCAAAAGTGGAACTGGGAGCAGAGCAGCAGTCCTTGGCATGGGTCCTGGGCATCAGAGTGGCACCAATCTCTCTGACAGCTAGCAGGCCTAGAGCCCCAGTTCCCACACCTCCTTTGTCCCTGATGGGCACCCTTCCCAGCCCAGAAGAGAGTTGCAGAGTGGGGGTTGGGGAGATGAGCAGCCCTGAAGCTACTGGTCTTCTCATGAAAAAAACTGCTGACCAATTGAGGATGCTAATCCTGAATGTGTCTTTCTTGAGGTAGGCATAAGCTGGATTTTCCAGCTTCCCTTTTTTCAATCTCAGTGATACCCTTAGGAGAGTGCACATATTTCCAAAGCTTTAGAATGAGACAAAAAGCACTGTTCACTCCCCATCTCCCAACCTGGCAAGCTTCTAGAGGAAAAGGCTGGAAGGAAGGGGGCAGGTTCAGAAGTAGGAGTGGCACATATAACAGTAATAGGTTTCTATAACCTTTTCTTTTTACTACAAACCTGACTGCCTCAGCCTACTGCCTACTCCCCAACCCTGTGTCAGAGGTTGACTCCAAAGAGACTACAAAGTATGATAGGAAAGAGCATCAGCGGGCCAGCCACACCACCAGGTCTTCTCCAGGGCCCAGAGCACTTCTGTGTGGAGGGAGGCACGGGAAATAGGGAGCATTTCAACTCCCTACAACTCAGACACACGATGGGGAGATGACCAGGGGACGAAGGCGAAAAGGAATGAGTAGGGAGCCTAAGTAAGGGAGGGAGAGATGCAGGAGAAGGAGAAAGGAGAATTGTAGAGGTGATGGTGATGGTGATATGGGCTAACCAGTCGGGTGCAAGGACCTAGACCTAGGGGCAGAGAAGGCAAGAGAGCTAGCTGGAAAGGGAGGAGCAGAAGCAGGCTGAGATTAAAATGGCTGAGGGGAGAGGCTGATCCCAGGCGAAAATCAAAGAGGAGAGGGTTGAAAAGTCATATCCACCGGACCCAGGGAACAGGCAAGGCTGGCAAGGGAAGAGCCCAGGAGAGGAAGTGGAGGTGCTGAGCAGCTCTTGCCTCGCCAAGGGCCTTACCAGAACGCAGGGAGTTAGCAGCAGCAGCTACAGGTTCAACGAGCTCCAGTTCTGGCCCGCAACAGACGCAGCTCAGCGCGGGCTCCAGTAAATGAGGCTGCGGATGCCGCAGAGCTACGTGACTCCCCGGGAGGCGGGACTGGCACTTCCCCGCCCTGATTCCACCCCTTCCTAGGACTGGTCTGGGGAAGGCCACGCCCCCAAGGGCGGAGCAACGAGGTGGAGTGACCCCAATCCGGACCTCTGATGTTAGGGGCTGTCCGCCTACCATCTCGTGGAGGGTGTCCCCTTGGGGCCTTGCAGGGAATGGCCTTACTTTGTCTGCCACAATCACTTTTGCCACGTGCAGAGCACTATGCTGGATGTTGGGGATTAAGCTTGATCTGGTGAAGCAGAGTCCTTTAAACAGTCACAGCAGATGGGGTAGGTGGAACAGAGGTATCAACCAGGGCCCAAATTCAAGGCAATGGAATAATGAACTGAGGTTCTCTGTCCTCAGCCCCATATTTACCAGGGCCTACCTCATAGGGGGATGGGGAAAATAAGAGAATGGAGTCTTTTCTGTTTCCCCTAGGCCCAGAGCCAGGGTACAAGCAGTCCAGTGCCCCGAATATTTGGGGAAGCAAGAGAAAGGAGAAAGGGCAGACAGCCCTTGCTCTGGATGCAGCAGGAAAATGGTCTATGAAGTACATGCAGGCTGGGGGGCCCAGCTGCCTCTTACCTGACCTCATTCAACTCCCCCAACACACAAAATAAGACTCAATGGACTTGAAGAAATACATTAAATATACTTTATTTAAATAAAATAGCATCAAACATAGTTGGCTCTAGGCCAATTGGTCCTAGTGACGGGGTAAGGAAATATTTGCAGATAAAAGGGATGAAGCAGAATCCAGCTCAGTTTTTCTTTTTTGTTTTGTTTTTTGAGATGAGGTCTCACTATGTTGCCCAGGCTGGTCATGAACTTCTGGGTTCAATCAGTCTTTCCACATCAGCTTCCCAAGTAGCTGGGATTACACATGACCAACTACTTAGCTCAGAAATTGTAGCAATCCTTGTAGTTCCTTGCAACTATCTACTACCTCTGGGATGGATAGCAGAGTCTGGGAAGAGAGGCAGAAAAGGAAGCTCAGAACCTCAAGCCTAAGGCCCAAGATCCCAGCCCCAGGAAACACCCACTGTATTAGAATGGAGGAAACAGAAGCCACAAAGACGCATATGATAGAGTGTGAGGCCCACCTCTCAGCAAAGGCTGGGAGCTAGAGCTGTGCTCCTTAGTACTTCCTGTGGCCAGGCCTTATGCCTTAGTTTTACTACCTCCCAACCTCCATTACCTCATAAATATGCTGAACAATGTCATCTAGTTTCTTTAACTCTGTTTCAGAGCGCCGAAGGTTCTCCTCTAGGATATTTCTCTAGAAGGCAAATAGATTTCATAGTCCTATGCTAAGAACAGCATAGCTTGGCAGGACAGAAGTAATATGGCAGGGTGCTTGCTAGTGGTGTTAGGAAATGGCCTTAGAACAGCATGGAAATGCTTACATGATTCTGGAACTTGACCATGAGTTTTGCTTTTTCATTTTTCATCTCCAGGAACATCACCCTCAGCTTGTCTACCTGCAGATAGGCCCAGATTAATAAGGGCACAGTCTGGGGTCCCCACCAATTGTCCAATTTATCTGTTAACTTTGAGTCACCTCCTGAGAGAGCCACACTTTCTCCTGGATCCAGTTGGTGGCCATGGGCTGACAGTTAGGGTCCAGCTGGCCTGCTAGGGTCTCCTGTAGCACTTTGGTTTCTGTCTCTGCATGCCGAAGTGAGCGGGTAAGCTGGGTCACTTCTTCTCTGAGGCTCTGGGAATGAGAATAGAGGTATCTGATAGCATTCAAAGGTCTCTATCCTTCTAATCTTAGGTGGTGGAAAAAAGTGAACAAGGATATCCACTTGTCATGTTTGGGATCTTGCTACCAGTGGCACAGAAAGCAGAAGACTGGGTATCATGAGAAACATACTATAAGCTCGCCACTCTTGTCTATCTGTTCTAGGATCTTCTCATTCTGCTTCTGTATCACTTCTTGGAGCTCCTTTTCATTCTGCAAGAGAAAGGGAGGTGAGAAGATACTGAGAACTGGCTTCACAGCACTTGCTAGGAGGTAGAGGGGTGTATCTGACCTATGTTTGGCCATGGTGGGACCAGCTGGTATCATTCTAATTCTCCTCCATGGCCAAGTCAGTCAAGGCATCTATTAGTTGGTGGGAGAGTTCTGTTAAGAATTCTTGACTTCTCTCCTGGGAAGACAGGTCAGCCCATAGCTGATTCCTAAATATGTAAAATGTGTGGCCCCAGGAAGGGCAAAACTAGGGCAGTAATTGGAAAATCCCCACCACCCAGATTCCTGGAGAGACAATGGCTCCCAGTGGGCCAGTAAACCTGCCCCAGTTCTTCATCGCCCCACTTCTAGGCCCCTCCTTCACCTTGTAGCGTAAGCACAAGGCCTGGTTCAGCTTCTCTATGTCTGCTTCCTTTGCCTTCTGGGCTTCCTGATGCTGTTCTTCCTGTGCCTGCAGCCTATCCTGCAAAGCACAACTAGGGGGAGGGAAGAATCCCACATCATTCCTGCCCTCTCAGAACTGTGCAATGCCCTTATGAGGGGCTCTCTTATTGCCCCCTTTCATCAAGACTGCATCTCACATTTTTTGCTGCAGAGTCCCAATAGCTGCTTCTTTAGACTCTTGCAACAAGTAACACAGGCTCTGAAGGTCAAGAAGCTTAGTACTTATTTCTGCCAGTCTCTCCTCCATGTCTGGGATCTCTGAAAGAGAAAGTCCTAGATAGAAGTATAGCCCTTCAGTCTGGAAGAAAGGGGTGTATAGCCATCATAACCCTTATCTGTGTTCCCCCATCCATATGATTTAAATATCCAGAACATTACAGATCCCAAAAGGCAGAAATAAAATGAGCCCAAGTAGAATTGAGGTTTTTAGAGCAAAGCACTTCTCACTGTTTTTGTCTTTACTCATCACCACCACATTTTCTAGAAATGAGGCAGGATCCCTGGAGCCCATCCTCACCTGTAGACTGAAGGGAAACCATTGATGCTACTCGGGTGAAAGCACTCTTGTCACTTCCAAGCAAGGGCACAGGAGCTGATTCTGGTTCTAAAACAAAAACCAACCAGGGGAGAAAGCCCAGAAAAATAGATAATGTGCATCTTCACCAGATAAAGATATCGGGAGAAGGGTCATAACTTTCCCAACCAAATCCCAGGACTTTTAACCTTCATCTGCCACTGCTGTCAAGATGCTTCCCATGAAGGCACTGTCATTAGGTGGAGGGTGTTCCTGAGTAGGAGCAAGGGCTGTGTTCAGAAGGGTCTCTGGGTCAGCCTAAGGACAAAGGAGGAAAAAACAGCAACACTTTTTAGAAGTACTGCAGGCTAAGCAATTGTGCCAATGGAGCTCTAGGTTGAGTGATTTCCTGAGCTCCCAGATATTCCCAGCCATCTCTTTCAGAGTGCTATTCCACCCATTACTTCACTGCTCTATCTCCAACTCCCCAATTAACATTTTTCACCAAACATGTTTATATTCTTAAGCCTCTCCCAATAAAACAACCACAATAACTGGAGATTAAAAAAAAAAAACAAAACTTAAATCCCCCTTTACCTACTACTTCCCTTTCTCTTTCCTTTTATTTAAAAAAAAAATTTAAACTGACTTTTTTTTTTTTTTTTAGTTGTAAATGGACACACTATCTTTATTTTATTTGTTTTTATGTGGTGCTGAGGATCAAACCCAGTTCCTCATGCATGCAAGGTAAGCACTCTACCACTGAGCCACAACCCAGCCCTCTCTTTCCCTTTAATTAAGAAGAAAAAGAAGCCAGGTGTGGTAGCCATGCCTTTAATCCCAGCAAATTGGGAGGCCGAGGCAGGAGGATAGCAAGTTCATGGCCAGTCTCAGCAATTTAGCAAGGCCCTAAGGAACTTAGAGATCTCCTGTCTCTAAATTAAAAAAGGGCTGGGGATGTGGCTCAGTGATTAAGTGGCCTAGGTTCAATCCACAGTACATACACACACACAAAAAAAAAAAAAGAAAGAAAGAAAGAAAAAGAAGCTAGGTATAGTGGTTGGCCCATGTCTATAATCCTAACTACTCGGAGGGTGAGGGAAGAGAATTGCAAGCTCAAGATGAGACCCTCTCTCAAAAAGAAAATAGAAAGGGCTGGGGATGTGGCTCAGTGGTAGAGCATCCCTGGATTCAATCTCAACTACCCTAAAAAGAAAAGAGAAAAAAATGCCTATAAGTCTTGCCTATAAAGTCTCATCATCTATCGATTCCTGAGCCAACTACTCAGGCTTTTGCCCCGCAACCATTCCACCAAAATTCTTGTCATTTGGTTCAAAGATTTCATTCTTATCTTCAATTACAAGGATACTTTTCAGCTCTTTTATTACCTGGCCTATTTGATACTGATGACCATGTTGTACTTTTAGAAACTTAACTTTTCTTCTAGGACATGACCCTACTTCATAGATAGGCCTCAAAAATTTCTGAATATTTCTTCCTTCAACCCATAGGTCTTTCTTTAACCACTGGGTTCCAGTCCTTGGCCCTCTTTTCATTCTAATGCATTCCCCAGTGGCCTTGCCTTGGGACTCTACAAAAAAGTTCACTTTAAATTTCCACTTCCACATGAATGACTCTTCAATCTCTTTTTCTCAATTGGATTTTTTCCCAGTCTCCAGGCCCCAAAACTGACTGCCTGTGAAGAAATCTGCCAGAATGTTCCATAGTCCACATTGAAACTTAGTATGCATAAAGTTGAGTTCACCATTTTCCCTGTCCCATGTGACCAAATATCTGTTCCTATTCCTGAATTTACTGTTCTAGAGCAAAGGGGTCCTGCAGGTCAATCTGGCATGCATTATTGTAAATTCATTATGTATTATAGCCATACCCATTCATTTACATACTGTCAATAGCTTTACTTGAGCTACAAGGCAGAGTTAAGTAGTTGAGACAGACCCCACTTGGCTCACAAAGATGAAACACTATACTGGCCCTTTATAGGACAAGTTTGCTGTCCCCAATTCTAGGAGAGTGTTATAATCGTTCTAACA